AAAAACCTGCAATGAGGCGGCTCAACCTTCCCCTCCCAGCCTTAGTCCTTGAACAGAATTTTGGACTACTCCCACCCACCCCTTATCGCAGATTCAAATATTTCCAGCAAGAAAAAACATTGTCATAGGTGGAGATTGAGGGATGCCTGAGAACTGTCTGGCACATTCTATAGGCACATTCTCTGGGACCACTGGTATACTCCCAGGTGGTCTCCAAATATGTCTTGTTGTGCATCTAACTATAAGACATGGGATGACCTATATCAAGGGATGAGGGGCTACATGAGAAAGGCGGGTTTTCAAGGATTTTAGTTTCACACACAAGGAAGAGAATTCCATCTTTCACAGTGACAGTGAAAGGAGACATAAATTGGATCTAAACTTGCATAGGTTGCTAACAAGGTACCAGTCCACATGGTACTGAGAGAAAGAGAGAGGGTTGAATGTAGTTTATGCTACTGGAAAAGCAATAACTTCCACAATCTTTTGGTTTATACATTTTATGGTACATTTTTAATTTGTTTTAAAAATAGCAATCTCAACACATAGCAGAAAAGGAGTTTGTATATATAAACCTCTACTTCTTGGAAAGTCCTCAGCATACTGAGAAGCCAGATGCAACTTAGCAATCATGGTATTCTTGACATTTACGCCTTCCATGAATATATTTATCTATATAAACCTTTTCCTTGTGGTGTAGTTAAACTGTGAGATGGCACTGGATTACTATTGTGATTTAACATATAATGTGGAAAAGAGTGATTGGCTATTAACAGGGAAAATTTTGACCTCTCACTCTTGTTAAATGTGTGGGAGGCAATAGATAATGTCATCCTCAAATGAGATGTCAACACAAAAATTCTAGCAAGCCAATTTTTATTTTCAATAGGCTGTCACATCATTAGGACAGTCATCTAGTTGGATCCGGACTTATGAAGCCATTAAACTTAATTCGGTTTTGCAGTTTCCTAAGAAACAACAGATTCTAAAATGTTGAAACTCACTTGCATACATGTTTAAAGGTATTTTGTTTGGTGGAACAATACCCAATAAACAAGAAATCATCACTAGATCCAACAATTAACTTTTAATGAACCTGGAAATCACTGCTATTTATTCTGGTACTGTTCCAAATAAACACTGCCCACATGTTTGCCCTTTGGTGCTGTTAATGTGAATTTAATTCTTTCAAGTTTTGCTGTCTCTGCATGTTCTCTAGAAGATCAACTGCCCAGTTGGGAATTAATAGATTTTGCCTCTAGTGTGCATCCTTATTGTTTACCATCATGTGGCTGCTATATATTGTATAAGAATTATATTAAGTTTCAGATTTTTCTGAGTATGCATGGAATTGGACTTTTCCCACTTGCACTTGCTAGATATATGGCCTGTCTTGCATGCATTTGATGTGATGTCTGGAAGAGCTTCCCTGTGTTACTATAGACTCAATCCTGATTTTTCAAGGGTTCCTAGTTGTTTATATGATTTTCCACATATGACACCAAAAATGCACAGAGCAGAGGCACACAACCAGGAACAAAAATTGTACAATCATGCTTCCTTCTCTAAGGAATTAAGAGAATATATATAGCTTCAAATTTAGATTCAGTTTTAAAAAATATTTAGATGTCTCTTAGTAAAGATGGAAAAGAAATTTGTACTTTTTTTTACAAATTTATTTCATAATTGACGGTGATGATTGTATGCAGTGGAGATCCTGCATCATCAATGCAACGATGACAATGGAGTCCCACAGTTAAGTCATAGTGATGCCACCGCCGCAAAGAAACCTTTGTTTCCTGACAGCACTCTGACCAAAATATTTTCAAGGAACTGAAGAGTGGGGCACTGGGGTATTTTGTCTATAGTACCCTTCCAATTGTTGGCCACATTGATGGCAGACAGCAGTAGAGATGAGAACACTGTAGGCACCCTCCTATAGTGCCCTGATCTCCAGTGCCTCAGAAACATTCCAGCAATTGTGCTACCAGGCTGTAAAGGTGTTTTTGATGTCACATTCAGCCATTCACAACTGTAAATATGAATCACCAGCAGTTACAAAATTGTAAGACCACCTTACAATCTTTTTAACTGCTAAACAAAGGTGCCAGAGGTGCATTTCTTTGGGTTTGTACCAGTTTCTTCATTGGGTGGGAATCACAAGCATCAGTTTCATCTAAAAATAAATATTATAGAACAGGGAAAGATGCAAAAAAGAATAAATGATAAAGGAATTGACAAGGTCCCTGTAAGGAAATGTCATTGAGTTTGAGGCAGTTTATTTTAAACATAAGATCAAGTCAGGGAAGACATGATAGAGGTTTATAAAATGGTCCATGGAATAGAGAAACTGGACAAATAGGTCTTTGCTCCCTTTCCCATGATACTAGCACAGGGGTTCTAGTATTGTGTGTTAAATTGGAAGCATAATCCAGTGCTGCCTCGTTGTTTAATTATACAGCAAGGAAAGGATTTGCACATGTAAATAAAACAGTGAAAGATATAAATGCCACAAATTCCATGACTTGTGAACTAGCACTTGAGTTCCCAGTATGCAAAAAATCTTTCCAAGAGAGAGAGAGAGAGAAGTCCTTCTTCTACCATGAATTAAGATTTATAAAATAAATATTTCTTTGAATTAAAAATCAAAATAAATGGTAGGATATTAAGAATACATAGGCAAATGGAGCCTAACTACTCTATTGAATTCAGTGCTGCAGGATACAATTACATTGCCAGTTACATCTTAGAAAACAATACTCTTGGAGGACCATCATCCTCGAGCAATGAGGGCTACAATGGCAACAATTAAAATGGATAGAAAATGGGATAAGATTGTTTTTGCTGCCCCAGCAACCAGAACATGATTTGATTCAAATTTCAAGAAAAGCATTTTCATGCAAACATTAGGAAAGTCCTTCTGACTGAAAGACCTATGGGTCAGTGGGCAGAAAGAGCTATGGGACAGTGGCATGGACAGCCTTAGATGATCTTTAACCAAAGCTTGGATAATTATCACTCAGAAGTGTTTATTCCCGGTGCGGTTTATTCCCACATGGCAGGATTGGGACAAGATGGCCCCTGGAGTCCCTTTCAAATTTATTACTCTGATTCTAAATCACCTTCAGTATCAGAGGCCACATAACTCTATATATTAGTTATCTGACAGCGCAGTTTCAGGCTTCTTACTGAACTAGATATGCAGTCTAATCATACATTTTCTCTTCATATAATTTTTCTTCTTTAAATTACATGCAAGCAAATGTAGGTGACTGAAATGTTAAAAACACAGTAAAATTCATAATTAATGATGTGTACAGAATAAAAAAAATGAAAACCAAATTACACACAAATTTTCATGTAGGAAAGAAAAAAAGATCTTGCCACTGAGTAGATAACTTAGACAGGATAAGAATAATGATGGGAATCTAAGAAATACAATGAAATTAAATCAAAGATTTTTACCCAAACTCCTTAATGAGTACTGGTAATATATCTTGTAGCAGTATGCATGTGGAAGACTTACAGAAAGATTGGCTGAACAAATTCCCATCAATTCAATAACTCTATTCTACTAGGGACTAACAGTTGCATTTAAACCAGTGGTTCTCAACCTGTGGGTCCCTGGGTGTTTTGGCCTACAGCTCCCAGAAATCCCTGCCAGTTTACCAGCTGTGAGGGCCAAAACATCTGGGGACTCGCAGGTTGAGAATCACTGACTTAGACCAAGCCAGATGCAAAAGGCAAAAAAGTTCTCCTTTGCTAAAGAGTATATAAGGAAAGGTACTGGTTTATTGACTGAATCTTGAAAGGTGTGATATAAATTTAAATAAATAAAATATGAATAGATAACTTTTATTCTAGAAAGACGATGTCAGTTTCCAAATGCTTGAAGACTCCTTGTGACATTTATTTAGCTGAGATGCCATTCAGCAGGTCTTTGATTCTCTTTCTCTCACTTACCTTGTTTTGACTCCCAGCCTGCAAAGCACGAAAGAAAACCAGGAGGAGCATGTGAGCCAGTATCAGAAAAAACAAGATGTGTATTTTGCACAAATGGTGAAAAAGAGACATACATCCTACACTGCCATGGTTTTTTTTATACAAAATGATGTATATATACTGTTTATTGATAATAATCTCTTTACACAATATTTGTTATATCTATATATAGGTGGTATACTATAAAACAGGCTTCATAAATCATCTGTATCTAATCGGCTGTGATCAAATCAATTTCTCATTCAAAGTCTATCCAAAAAGTGACCCTGGTTAATCAGCTAAAAAGTTATTATTAGAAATGTTTAAAAAAATTATAAAAGTGTTTCCATCTTTTAGTATTTGCTGTTCTCAGTTACGTAAGTTGACTCATCAGCAGAACATGACATTACATAGACTTAAATGTGAAGACATGCAATAAACAGGACAGGTCACAGTAGAGCAAAACAAGGTTTCTTTGGTGAGCCAGAAGCCAATATATAAAAAGTTAACAGCATTTCTAAACTTTCTTTCACAACAATGAAACATTCACATTACATACTATACAAAATAGAATACACTGAGTGGCAAATTATTCCATGTAGGAAAGGCAGGAATTATAAACCAAAACGATGCCTACTTTATCTAAGAGACCATGGCAGGCCACAAAGAACAGGTATAGTCCAGTTCTTCTCAGGGTAATTTCACATTTCACAAAACTAGAATAAAATTGTTCCAACGAAGGCCCCTACCACACAGCTGAATAAAATCCCACATTATCGGCTCTGAACTAGAATATATGGCAGTGTGGACTCAGAAAACCCAGTTCAAAGCAGATATTGTGGGATTTTCTGCCTTGATATTCTGGGTTATATGATTGTGTGGAAGGGCCCTTAGCACACACTGGCCCATTTCTGCAAGGATGAAATTAACATCTGTGTAGCCAAATGACAAGATTCCTTAATATCTTCATTTTACATCTTTGTACAGTAAGCTCAACCACCATTAATCAAATAACAGCATTTTATTTTAAATGGAAGATTTATTCAATTTCACCAACAAAATAGCAAGGTGTTTTTCCCCCTTTGCTTATCACTTTTTAATAATAATAGTGAGTTTTGTTTTAAACTCCTTAAACTCTGGCTTTTGGTTTTTGTTGCAGTCTTTAAGCAAATATCAATGTTTGGCTATTTCATATGACGCAATTCCCTTTTTTGTATAAAATTATTGCATAAGGGCAAAACCGTTGCATGAAATCTCATAAATTCACACAATATAAGATACATTGATTTTCAAGTCATCTCAAGTCAACACAGAATGGGTTAATTTGGCAAAATGAACCATTAAGTGATGAGAAAGTGTATACTGCATACAGAATACCTGCCAACATCAAAATGAACCCTAGTTTGGTAGTTGCACATTTGAGGTTGCCTTCAAAAGGAAATACTTGCCACACAGAATTAGTATGACATGTAAAATCACCTTGTTTCACCCATCAGAGCCAGGTCCTTGACATGTGAAAGTATGCATAGGGTCCGTTCACAGCTTCATCTATGACATATACTAAAAACACATACTGAATTATATTATAAAGAGGTCCGTCTACGAGCTAGCCCTTATTATCTTCTACTCTTCTTACAAACTTCACATGCACTGATACAACTAGAATATTTTTCTTCTTAATGGTGTTCTAACGCTCAAAGCACAGAACATTTGAAATATTCCCTTTCCAATTATGCTAAAAAAAAAACCCAAAGAGGTTATTGATAGTTGGGTAGATTTAGGATGTATTAGACAATACTTGTTGCCAAATATATTGTGGACACCTGGCAGATATAGGGTCCCAACCCACCAGGTGTGTCTATCCCATATTTAACGCCATTATCAGAGACCCACAACAATGTGCAAATTCAAAGTGGGTCTGTGCATTTAACAACTAAAATATATAAACCTATATCTATGAGATTAACATACCAGGAAAAGCTCCAGGTATGATCCGGGCTTATTTACTGCATGAAAACACGTTGGAACATTATGCCAGTGCAGAGATGCCTGGAAACTTCAGCAGAAGGCAGGCATGTCAAGAAATGTGAAGGACGAAGGCTTTCTTGCCACCCATCAAATATATGAGATAGGTCCAGCAATACCACATCCAAACTGTTTTTTAAAATTACTATTTTCTGCAGCTATGATTTTCCACCAGAGCTGCGTCCTCCCACTCCCAATATACACATCCTCAGTTGTGTCTACTATGAAGAGAAAACTTACAATACTTCTATGGGGGCATAAATATTATTCACAGATAACAAAGTTGATTATGTACAAGATACTCAGCTCTCACTCATGTCCTGACAGACAAATGATCCCATTTATTAGTCCCCTGCTCCCAAGCCAAAAACATTTGAAGTCAAATCTGATTCTTTCAAATGTATCACAGGAACCTGGTAGCTATCAATAAGCCACCTAGCTATTTCAAGATAAAAAGAACATCCAATAAATTATATCAGTATGGCTTACTTCATTTATTTATGTACGCTTCACAGCTGCAGCATCCATACACAAACATTCATTACTTTATAAAAGGATTAAAAATGGTTATATATATATATATACAAAATTATTTACTTTTTATTTTATTTTTCTAATTTTTTTTTACAAAAAATGTAGGCCTATCTATCTCCATCTGAAAATGCAGAGAGCTGTAACATAGACCCACGGTTAGTGTTGTAAAAGTTATCTTTTTAAAAAGTGGCCCTGGTTGAGAATTACTGTATTAGCACTTTATTATTGTTACTGTTATTCCTACAGACCCTCCTTGTCATTTAAAAAGAAGACAAAATCCTTCAGGCAAGTCCCTTTCAATCAATGTCAAAGCTGGAAAGGGAAAAAAAGTCAAGTTCCATATTGCAGTCCCTTGGTCAGAGTTGTTTCCATTTGTCATTCTCCTTAAGTGGGTTTACATCACATGGTTCTCTGTGGACCTCAGTTGGGGAGTAGCAGTGTTCTTCAAGCAAGATGCCCCTTTTGTTGCTCATCTTCACACAGATATAGCCATTTTTTCTCATGTTTATGAAAAAAGAGAGCAGACAACAACTTAAAACTATTCCCAGCTTGGTGATGTATCTCAAGACAAACAGAATAAATGATTAAAGACCTCTGAGGCCAAATAGCCATAAATAAGCCTGAACTTAATGTTACATCTCGTTGTATATACAGGGTTTTTTTTCTTTCAAAACAACACACACTTAAACACCATTAAATCATCTTATTTACATTATCATTGGTGCTAAATGGAAGAGTTTAATTATTATAGGATGCTGGGATATAGAATCAACTGGTCCCTCACAAATCATGTAGAAATTAATGCACTAGATAGGCTGGAAATGGCTTTTCAAAACTTTCATCTGTAGCAATCACTGGCATGTACTGTGAATACTGAGGTCCTTACGTTTTCTCCAACATGCTTGGTAATACTCTTATAATTGATTTTTTTTAAAAGGCACGGTAAGCTAGGACTTTGGCTAGCATGGCAAACATCTTGTTTTAACCAGAGTGCATTCAGCGCCTTGAATCCTGCCATGTCCTGATCCAACGATGATAATGTTTTGATGAATTTAATGAGTTTCCCTTTCCCGGTGGAGAATGTTTATAATAATATTTCTTAGAATAAGTCCTTTGGAATGAAGATGCTGAAAACAAAAGAGAAGAAAGAAAAAAAGGAAAGTGTTGTAAATGATCCAGCAAAAGGACAAGCAGGATGAATGGATACAATAGGTTAGACTTATAGAATCAGGTGATGACATTCACTGATTTAGGTCTCCATGCGCAGCCCCATGTAGAACTTAAAGTAACTAGTTATTTGTAATTCATTCATTTCCCCAAGAACTGAAATATAACAACATAATGGAGCAGGGTACAGGAAACGTACACTGCAGCAGGGTACAGGGAGTATACAACCCCCTTTTTACACCAGCTCCACTGGCTGCATATTAGCTTCCAAGCACAATTTAAAGTGCTGGTCTTGACCTATAAAACCCTAAATGGTTCCAGCCCAGCTTACCTGTCTGGATGTATCTCCCTCTACAAACCCCCAAGGCCCTTAAGATCATCTGGAGAGGCCCTGCTCTTAGTCCCACCACCATCGCAGTTGCGCTTGGTGGGAATGAGAGACAGGACTTTCTTGGTGGTGGTCCCTCAGCTGTGGAACACCCTCCCTAATGAGATCAGATCTGCCCCCTCCCTCATGACCTCCCGGAAGAAGCTCAAACCCTAGTTATGGGATCAAGCATTTGCAGAGTAGATAGTTTTAATGGACTTTTTAGCTGACAGCAATGAACTGATTTGGAAGACGACATGAAAAGGCACACTGTTTAAATGTATCTATAATTGTTTTAAATATAGGTCAATTGTATATTACGCTTGTTTTATTGTTTGGCACCCAGTGGTGCCTGTTGGTAGCCATCCTGAGTCCCTCTTCAGAGGCGTGAAGGACAGGATAGAAATGCTCCTAGTAAATAAATAAATAAAGTTGTGACAGCAAGTTAACAAGACATAACTTCACTCCTTCTGTGGTGCAACGAGAATTTTATTTTAATTATTTTTATATTTATGGGGTTGAGCTTATTAAATGGTGGAGGAAGAATAGCACCAGGTTTGATTGCTGACTCCTGCTTTATTTTGGGTGTGGAAGCAACAATGAGGTGGACATAGACAAGAGGCGAAGTATTTTTGTACGAAGTGTAATTATGGTTGTAACCTCGGGGAGATCAGACCTACAATTGTAACGAGTAATTTTTTCAAGGCAGCTTTCCCAAACTCTTATCCCAATTACTCAAGTATGGAGGCCAGGCAGTCTGTGTGGAAACTCACTCAAATGGCCAGTTTTCACAGCATTTCCACCTCATATAATGCATGGATAGCAAATGAGCAATCAAGATGTGTCTCTCATTGACAAAGGAAGACTCTTACCAGGCTGGTAAACACCTGATCTGAATCTTTGTAAATCATAGATTTCTTCTCAAAGGAAACTTACGAATCATGCAGGTAATTTTAGGCAAATCCCATCGACCGTTTCCTTGGCAGCGGATGACTGGAACATGGCGTTGGATGAACCCATCTTTACAGTGGTATCTGATCAGTGAGTTAATTTCATAACGAGGCTTCATCTTCCCAAAAGTCTTTGCATTTTCTACAACAGGCGGCTGGCCACAGGCCACTGGAAGCAGAAATATAGGCTTATTGTTAATTTTCCCTGCCCCAAACTCTAATATACTGGATTCCAAATAAAAGAAAAATACTATATCCAGAATGTGTACTTAATTTCTAAAAGTTAAACAATTTATAAAAATGGAAAATCTTTATTTTTCCCAGTTTGATTTTTTAAAATTTTATTGCCATAATAATAATAATAATAATAATAATAATAATAATAATAATACCCTGCTTTATCTCCCCAAAGGGAACTCAAAGTGGCTTGACATAAAAGCATTGGTATACAATTTAAAATATACAAATATACAAACCTTAAAATAGAATTAAACGCAAACATCACTAAACAATTCACAGTTAAAATCCATCAAAAACATATTCAAAGTTTAAAAACCACAGCACTCCCTGACTAGATCTTAAACACCCTCATCTTTAAAAGCCTGCCTGAATAAAAAGGTTTTCACTTGCTGCCGAAAGGATAGCAGGGAGACGGCTATTTTGGCTTCCCTGGGCAAGGAGTTCCAGAATCGTGGGGCAGCCACTAAAAAGGCCTGCTCTCTCATTCCCACCAACAGAAGCTAGTAGACAAATATTCATAAATACTTTCAAACTATAACATTCTAAAAGTCATATACCATATGATAAATCAACTGAGCAAACAGTCTGCTGATTGTAGTACACAAAGATTTATGGATCTATCTAAGGTGCTGCATTTCAGAATAAACAGCAGAAGCCTGGTGTCCCTTTCTTATGTTGGATCGACCCTTCTAAGACCAAAGCAAGATCCACCTTTGGAAAAGATTATGTAACTTTGTACAATGTTTTCTTCCCACCCTATGGAAACATTTTATTAATTTCTTCTCAAATGAAGCTCATGGTCCTTCTCAAACTAATCAGTAATCTATGCTAACCCTAGTATCAATGTGAATCATTAGAAGAAAACATACCATTAAAAAAACAAACAAACAAACCCACAGCTAGATACAAAGAAAAGGAGCAAAACCCTCAAGCATTCCCTGCCTGTCCACAATGGCAGCTAGTCATATCCATATGAGTGAATCCATTCTGGGTTTTAGAATAAGCTTTAATTGATCTTTTCAATGTGCACTGTGGAACCAATCTAAGGACTGGGCTCTGTTTCTTCGTACAGTTGGGAAAAAATCCCAACAAGTTTCAGTTCATTGATATGGTCACTGCAACCAAACCAGACACTTGAATATGATAAAAGAAGAAATAAAAGAAAACAACTTTGAAATGATCAGGGTATCATCTGGGAATATGTATTTTAAACATATTTTACAGAGTAGAATGTTGAAGATGGACTTGCAACTAATCAAATGGATTTTCTCTCAAATCTGGCAGAAATATCAGTCATCCATGCTTAATTACTGACAGAATGACATCTTATGCCCCAAAAAGTAGGTACGGGACAGTTACAAACATGACAGGAGTGTCACAATTGTCACTAATTAGTTATTATAAATATGGAACATCTGTAACTGTTTTGTATTTGTAATCACGACTTAGTCATGATTGTGACACTCTTGCCTCAATTGTAATTCTTCTCCCAACATGGCATCAATTCCCTGGAGAGAAGGAAGTAAATGGAGAACAGGAGAATGATGTTTCCATCGGGGGAGCGGGGAGGGGGTGGGGTCAGGCCAGAAGAGATAATTTAATTAAGTAAGCTAATAAAGAGTATAGACCATAATAATTTGGATGCGAGGGTTTCTAAGGCCTGAAAATTATTTCAAGGATTCCTCCAGGGTAAGAACAATTGAAAAAGGCTACTGTAAATGCTAGTTGGGGGAAGCAAAATAGCCACACAGTAAAGCTTTTCCTGTGTATAGGCAATGATAGAAGGAAACAGTATCCAGAGCCAGAAAATTATAAGAGGAAAATGCAGGAAAGTTAATATTATAATTAAATATTCATTTGAGCATTTATATATTTGTTTCAGAACAATTTTAACAAAACAGCATAACAGGTGCATTTGCATAGCAAGGGCTAATTTATTTGCATTAATAAACATTACTGCTGCCTGTGGTGCAACATGCCACTTTAGAGGTACAAAGATTTGAAGTTTGTTAAAACTTTCCTTCTGTATTTCCAGTGGCAATTGCTGATTCCAGGATGAAATTCTTTACCTGTGCCTTTCTTGCAAGTATAGGTGAGATGATAGTTGCATGGTACATCATTCCACTGGCCATTTTCATGCCAAATTATAACAACACAGTCTTCTCCGGAAGAAAAGAAACTGTCTGGCTGGTTTGGCCTCCAGTTTTCATATTGCTACAGAAGAGAAAAAAAAAAAACACTAGTCAATGGAGGATTCAGAAAATTCAAATTTCTGTATTTCAACTCAGAACACTTGGCATGGTATAGTTATTAGAACAGTGATTTACAACTGGAGACCAGGATTTGAATCCCTGCCCCTCCATGAAACCTATACTCTCAGCTTCAGAGAAAGGCAACCCCCACCCCCGTAACAAATCCTGCCAAAAAAAACCCTTATGATAGGACTGCCTTCTAACTCATAAACAACTTGGCTGCATACAGCAATAATTTCTATTTGCACTAGAGAAAGGTGAACAAGGTCCAAACTGATCTGGATCAGATCAGAGCAGGAGGATCCTACATATCTATAATTTAGAGAGAGAGAAAAACCCACAGACCTCCATAGAAACTTTCCACTCTTATCCTTTTTTTCTCATTTGTTACTGAGATTGTCTGTTGAGAAAATATTGGCTTTACAACAAAACAATTCTATTTCTTGGTACTCCTGGATATATTTCCAAATTTCCAGCATTCTTCCAACTAGCTATAGTAGCTAGGTATGCTGTAACTGGCAGACCACGGGCCTTTCTACTCCGACCACTAATGCAGGCCTGACGTGGTATCTCAACTGCTCAGTCATACCGAACATGGTTTGGCACCACCAGGCAGTCATCCTAGGGGTATCCCCAGCCCCTGTGTTGTGGTTGTTCCCAGACACTACACACCACGTGGTCGTGAGTGCACTAGTTGATGTCAGCCAGAACACATGGGAACAAGGTAGGTGAGGTTTTGTGCTGGCAACATCCACAATGTGAAAAGAAGGGGGCCACAGGGGACTGCCATCCCCGGACAAGGCCACCTGAGCCCAGAAATGTGGGATAGCAGTGAAAACAGGTAAGCATTCGAGTTTTCCCTCAAGTTTGCTTAACCTAGGGCAAGGATGTGTTAAGGTAGCCTTGCCACAGGTTAAGCCAGAGCAGCCCCATGTGGCATTTAACTTCCACAGGGGTGATCCAACTACACACCAACCTAAGTAGTCAGTGTAAAAAAAACCCTCAGCATGACCTTCAGGGCCACATCTGTCAGTCTTATTGTAAAACATATCTCTGCAGAATCTATTATTTATATGACTGATTTTTAATTAGTTCTTCATCCGCTCAGGTTCAAAAAGCAGATGCATATCAGATAAATTAATTTTTCAAAAGATCAAAATGCCTTTAAAAAGAAAGAAAAAAAAAGAATGACCTTTCTCTGTTTCAGGCTCAATTAATACATATAATGTTCAAAATCTATACCAGGCTCTATGGAATTAAACAGGTATGTTCTAGAGGAAATGCCACTGCAAATACTTCTTCGCATTATTCTTTCAAGTAAAAAGAACAGAACAAAAGAGAGTAAAAATGCTTTAAATTTTGTTTACCTATTCCTTACAATGTTACACATTTTCCTTTGTGAATAGATTTAATAGTGGACGCATAAAATGAATGTCTAAAAGAGCAAGAATTCCTCTTAAATGTCAGAACTTTCCAGCCAATCTGTCCCTTAAATGGTCATAGTTCCCAAGGCTTTTACTTAATTTCAGTGCTTATGTCTTGGAGCTGATCCACTTATGTGCTTATAAAAGGTACAAATTGTTTTGCTTTGATTCCTTAAAAAGTAATCCAAACACACTGTCTCTCTGAACATATTTTACCACTAAAGTTGATGTACCACACAAATGTCCTGCTTATTTAACTCAGAGCCCAGGAAAGCTGAATATAGCACTTGAAGTTTTTCCTACACAGTGTCATCTTATCAATCACGGTGTTTTAATTATCAAAGCAAGTGCTCTATAACATTCTAAATTGGGGTGCATTAAAATTATTGTCAGCGCCAGACAATAAAACATTTTTATTACAGAAAGACCAGGGCTGCAGTGCTATGTGCACTTTCCTCTGTGTATGACTTATTGAATTACAGAACCTTTCCCTTCTGAGTAAATATACATAGGAACAAACCACACAATTATTGATATTGCTTATTCAATGCTGGATATATCATATCAGTGACCACTTAGCTCTTATAATGCCTGATCATACAAAGTGGTGTGTGTGTGTGTCTTATATTTTATTTTCTTTGGAGCAATTTTGGAACTAATATATTAGCAACACGCAATTCTTTACTTATTGGTCACAAGGGTTGTAAAATCATGAGCTTAGGGATATTAATGTTTTGCATGGAAAAAGGGAAGGCTTGAGCAAAGCTTGATTATGCAGAATTGGTCCTGGTCTCATCTAATCCCATCTACTATCTGGATGAAGTTTTGTAGTCAAGGAAAAGGAAGAGCTGTCACTTTCCTGGACTTTTAGAAGATGCACTGGAAACCAGAGACTCTGAATGTTCTCCTCTCTTCTTCCAATTGCAAACCCACAGCTGTATCATGTATGGGAATCTGGCACTTGCCAGTGATCACCCAAGGTGATGTGGTCTACTTATGGTGGAGTGGGGGAGGCTGTTTTGGCATTACAAAGTATTGGGTCGCTTTTCCGTAATGACCCAAAATGGAATGGGAGAATTAGCACACATCACCAACAAAAGTCCAGCTTAAATTTGACAGTTTGAAGAGAAGGCAGGACATAGAGAGACTGTGAGTGCAGAACACCTCACTCACATGCAGGCCCGTAGCCAGGATTTTGATGGGGGGGGGGGGCTGAGTCTGAGTGAAAGAGGGTCTACCCTAGCAAACCTTTTGTATCATTACCCCAATACCCCATGCATGGGATATATTGAGTATGGTGATCAGATCATGATATGAATAAACATAACAGTTTAAATAATGTACCAGTAAGACCTTTTTGCAGACCACCATGAGAATTTCAGGGGGGGGGGGGGGGAGGGGGGGGGGGGCTGAAGCCCCAAAGCCCCCACCCCCCCCCCCCCCCCCCCGGCTACATGCCTGCTCACATGCAACACTCAGTCCTCATATGTTTGAGCAAATGCCTGATAAAGGCTAAACTGAATTCAGAATGCCGAGTGAATAAACCAAATGATCTGTGAACTAACAAAAGCATGTTAGCCACCCAAGGCTAATACCACTTCAACACACCCATGATGAAATCACATTTGAATACTCCCTCAGTTTGCAAATATTAACATGACTAGAAGGATCTGTTCTGGATACAAAATTCATAGAAGATCAAGTCCCATGCTCTAGTTGTATCCCTTTTATAAAATGGTAAAGATCAAGATTTTCCTTTTAAATAAAAAATATTTTCGAGTTTTGGGTGGTTGAATGTGGATGTAGAATACATGGAGGATTGACTGTACCTGGATGCAGAGAATGATTACATTAGACAGAAAAGATATACACTGTGTAAAGTGAGATTCTGAGGGCAACATTTAATCTCATTAAAAGAATTCTAGACCTACAGTCAAAATGAACAATCTTGAATTTTCTATACCAGACTTACTTCATTTTAACATTTATGTCAACATAACCCATTTGATTTCTGCAGATATGCAAAATTCAAAATTAACAAGAGGCAAAAGTTTCTTTGCAAGTCTCATCCAAAACTACCAAATGACTTTTTCTGCTCTACAGCCAAGCCTCTAACACCCTGCTCTCCTAAAGACTGGGTTCTCATTTTAGTCTCCGAATTCTAGTAAGGGATGCTCGTGGTTAGTTCCTGGCAGAATTCAAAGCATTGAGAATTCAACCTATTGCTCTTGATCCAGCAAAGGTTCGAGACATTTCAAGAGCTTGTAATAATAGCTGAGATACCCTGGCTTGCCAACATTATTGGCAAGGGCTTGTGGAATGGACTTTGTGGTTTCGCAAGATTGCACCATATCCCCAGACATGAGATGCTGTTGCCTCACATCTGATATCATCATTGCGCACATTTACTTTGGCTTTCTGACCCTTACATTGCTTTTTACAAATGCCAGAACCACTTAACGGAGACTCCTGGACTACTTTTCTTAACTCTCCACCCCACACACATTCAAGTTTTTCATTTCCTTATTTAGGCAAATACCACCAATTGGGAGATCGGCTTCAAAAATGGTTCTTGCAGCCTGCAGCAAAGTACAGCAAAAAGAATACATTGTTGAAACACAAGCAGGCATTTTAAAATAAAACCTTTGAGCAGGAGCAGTACGAAGTGTTCCTCTTTCTGACACAGGAGGTCACACTGCATTGCTTCCCTTTAGACTTCTCTCACCACTGCTTCCTTCTCCCCAAATGTCTTGGATATTTTGGTCTGGGGAATTTTTCCTGAAAGTGAGGCACATCATGGTCCTCCATCATCCCAGACATGCTTAAAAGCCTTCCTGAAGTCCTCTCCATACAAGATGCATCAGGTTTTCTCCACTGCTTTCTCCCCTATCATGAACAATCTAACAGTATCAACAACAAAACCACAAATCCACTATTTTTGATGTTGAAATACCGTGAATCAATTACTCTTCTGTAGAAAGAGATGGAGTTGGTGCAATAGTCAGAGATAGGCCCTTCTACCTTGGCACTATAACTTTATGGCACTTCAGCCAGCCTCAAGGAGTCTGCTGGATTTAAAAGTATCACTAAGTACCAACCTGTTTTTTTGAGAAGGAATGTAATCTTAGTCAGAATAAATTGTACATAATTCTAGGCTGATTTATCTTCTACCCTAGATGGTCTCCATTCTTGCTTCAATTTGTTAATGCCCTTTCTAAATCCTCAGTATTTCTTTCATACTACTGCTCCATACTCTTGGAATTGTTTCTCTGAACATTTACAGATTGCTGATTTCTTTGTTATTTTTCAATCTCAATTAAAACATTCTTGCTTGAGAATTTTAGTTCAACATATAGTCTTGTATATTATTCATGTAGTGTGTATACCCACACACACACAGAGGCACACACAGAGGCAATCCCTGAGTTGCAAATATCCGACTTACATATGACTCATGATTAAGAATGGGGATGAGACAACATGAAGTGAGAGGAAATCTACCCCTAGAAATTGACTCCTGAAAGAGGTACCATGGGGA